TTTTTCACAACATGACTACTATGGAAGTGTTTTGTATGACTACACATGTATAACCTCTATCGAGTTGCCTTCTTGATGAGGGTGGGTGGGGAGGGAGGAAGGGAGAAAATTTGGAACCCAGAGTTTTAAAAACAAATATTAAAAAACTAAAAAATTAATTTAAAAAAATTTTAAAAAAAACTCCACCTGTCTAAATTTTATTTTCTCCTTCCTCTTCTCCTTCTGACATCATTATTCCCATCTTTAGCACCCAGTCTCCCATGTTCCTAATCTTGGACTGTCCTCTTCTTCATTTCCTACAACTTCTATGGATTCTATCTTCAAAATAATTCTCATATCTATTCCCCCAAAACCATTTCCTCATTCTCACTGCTCCATCCCCAGGTCCCCCATTTACTACATGACTGAACTGAACTATTGAAATGCCCTCCTCCACCCTACATGTCTTTCTGCTCTGGTTTCCCTACCATCACCTCCAAATTACCTTTCTCCCCCTTTTACCCTCCATGTCTAAGGGAATGTAAGTTCTGTCAAGTTCTGTTAGGTGACAAAGCTTTTCAAATCCTTAGAAATTTTCAGTGACTCACTGTTGTCTTACCAATTAAATGTTTTTTGTTGCTGTCAAGTCCTGTCTAACCCTTCCCAACCCCATTTGGGGTTTTCTTGGCAAAGATACTGGAGTAGTTTGCTATTTCCTCCTCTAGCTCATTTTACAGATGAAGAAACTGAGGCAAATAGGTTTAACTGACTTGCCCAGACTCACACAGCTAGTAAGTGTCTGAGGTTGGATTTGAACTAAAGTCTTTCTGACTCCAGGCCTGGCACTCTATCTACTATACTACCTAGCTGCCCAATTGAGTGCAAATGTTTAAGTATAAAAACAGCCATCAGTAATTGAGTAATCCTGTGGTATCACCTTGTAGTTCCAACCTTACCTCAGCACTTCTCTCTGATACATATCCTGTACTTTGGTCAAATTGATTCTCTTGCCATTCCCCATATTCATTCCACCCTGTCCCACCTTTTCATCATTGCTTACTAAGACATTTTTTTTTTTGGTCTTGATTGCTTTTCACCCCATCCCCTCCCTCCCTCCCAGTTGTGGGAAACTGAATGCTCTTAAATGACACCTCCTCCTTGAAACTTTCATTGATCCCCACATCTAGTTAGTAATTCTTTCTCTCTCAGATCTCACATAGCATTTTGCATTTCTTTATTCATGTAACATTTTGTATTATAGGTATTGATTTATGCAGATTGACCCTTCTAGACTTTAAGCTCCAGAATCTATAAGTCTATAGTCTTTGTATCTCTCTCCAGCCCCCTGTAGCTAGTAAAATGCTGTGCACCCATTAGGTGCTTAAATGAGTGCTACATACCAAGCAATCTCATAATAAATCTTTGGTGTTGATAGCATTAACCTATTTTATAAATGAATGGGAAAAATGTTGTCACAAGACCACTGAACTACTTGTCAGAAGGGCAAGTTTTATTTCCTACCTCTATCACTAACTAGAATGGCCCCTGGGTAAATCATTTAACTTCCCTGGACCCCAGTTTTCCATGGGTAAAATGAAGGGGTTGGAATAAATGTTCTTTAAGACCTCTTCTAGTGCTAAAATCTTTTTTCGTATCAATAGAGACATAACTAAAGTGGGGTAAGCGGTGTTTTGACCCAGGGTACTGAATTTAGAGAGCAGGGACAGGGAAGGGGAAAGCAATAAGAATTTATTAATTACCTACTACGTGCCGGGCATTATGCTAAGCATTTTACAAATATTGTCTCATTTGATCCTTACAACAACCCTGGAAGGTAGATTCTATTATGACCCCCTTTTTATTGTCGAGGAAATTGAGGAAGCAAACAGAGGTTAATTGACTTGTCCAGGGCCATGTGAATTTGAGCTCAGGACTTCCTGACTCCAGACCCAGCACTCTATCAGCCACCTAGCTGCCTCATAGAACTTGACAGAATTTGTATTCCATTAGAAATGCAGAAACTACTCAGCTTAGCACCTAATTAGCAAGAATAATTCAAATTAGAGGCTCTGCTATTAAAAGCTGAGTTGAGCTTCTCACCTGCCTATTCCCTTCCACCCTAGCCTACCCAGCAATAGCCTCAAACCAGACCCAGAGTGTCTCTGTCTCTTTCTGTCTCTATCTGTTTCTATCTGTCTCTCTCTCTGTCTTTATATCTCTAACTCTGTCTGTGTCTCTCTCTTTCTCCATCTTTCCCTGTCTCTATCTCTGTGTGTCTCTCTCTGTCTCTCTGTCTCTTTCTCTCTCCCCCCTCCTATATGGCAGTGTCCTTTCTGCACCGCCCCCCCCCCAAATGATCGTCTACTTCATGCCGCTTGCCCTGGGTGCACTTTGTAGTATTTTTGTAATATTTGACCTGCATGCAAAAAATCCTACTTGGTATTCTTATTGTCAATTAACCCAGGTCAGAGCAAGAACTCTGCCATGATTTGAACTCCAAAATCACAACCCTATCAGCTAGCTTGTTCTTTGAAACAACATGGCCAAGTTGCAAGCTCCAAGGTTTCCCCGGAGAAAAAGCCATCAGATTTATGTAAACATGGAACCAGTTGGGATAGGATTTTGCTGATAATCTTGCTAAAGAGGGCTTTGTGTTCTTACTCAATCAGTAATGGAGTGGTTAATAAAAAATAGAATATATCACTTTAAAGGGCATTTATATATCTCTTGGGGAAAAAAACCATAAATATGTGATTTTTCATTTTTATCTAGACATGTTTTGTGTAATTGATTCTAAGGCTCACCCAAAGGGCCATGGTGGGTGTGAGTCTAGTACAACACAGTATAAGCAAAGAACTTTAAAGAATCAGAGAAAAAAGATGTGTCCATAAATATCACTGGCATTTACATACATCTTTAAGGTTTATAAAGCACTTCATGTCTGATATCATTTGATCCTTATGAGAACCTTGGGAAGTAAGCACTATTTATTACTATCCCTATTTTACAGATGATGAAACAGGTGGACAGAGATTAAATGATTGACCAGGGTTACACAGCTAGTACCAAAAGGAAGATTCAGCCAACCTCTGATTCAATCCACTTCGCCATCCAACTGCCCTAGAAACACAAAAGAAGATAACTACTCAGCTCCCTCTCTAACTAGCCTGGCCCCAGGACTCTACCATCCCACTCCTTGCCTATCAGGCAGGCCAAGGCCTGGACATCTGCTCAGCATCACTCAGGTACAAACCACACCCCTGCCACTTAATTTCTTAGAGCCTGTTAATCAGCTCAATGTTACCTTTGCTTCTGTGGAGGACAAAACCA